AAGAAATATTCTAATTTTACCCCCCACCCCACCCCATTATTTCTCTTTCTAGTACAAAACATCTGGAGCAGAGATTCTCCCTCTCCACCAATACACTCACTCACTTTAACAACCATACAGATCTATAAGAGCAATCTTTAAGAGTAAATGCATCAAGAAGGTGGAATGCTACCTTTTTGTTCAGTGTGCTTGTCAGTTTGAAATGGCAGGTGGTGGTCTTAAAACCTGAAATGTTCACTCAGACAGACAGAGCCTATATGTGAATCTGGTAATAGAAAAGGTTAAACAAAACTTCAGCATTTTATGAAGTCTGCATGTAGCAATCCTCTATCTTAAACCAAATCGAGCAAGAAAGCATACACAACACATTACTCTGTAGGTAGTATTTCAATTATTTCTTTGCCCTTTAAAGATTACAGAATTAAATACTGCAACTTAACATTTTAAATCTGTTCATATATTACCACTGTAGGATTAAATGGTACTGATGCGTGAGGAATTTCAAAAATGCTGTAAGCACTGGTATCATCATTGACTCAATTAAATGATTTTCAATCATTCTCCCAAAGCTTGGTACAGCTCTAAGTGTTTGATTTATTTTATAATATTCAATGTCCAAATCTCACCTAGTGAACAAGAACTTTGCATCACAGAAGCTTTCTACAGTAGAACAAACCTCCAAAGTAAATTCAGAAGTATCATGAGATGGGACAAAAAGCAGAAATACAAAAATGCAAAGACGGGGGGACAGAAATGATATGAAGTTTAAAATACAAGGGAATGAAAGAGATTGAAATTGAAATGATAGATAACCTACTGTAAGTAATGTGAAAGCGTAACAGTAGGGGACTGGAATAATCAGATATGGAACAATTTGACAATAGACTGGTTTCAAACTGAAGCACCTCAAAAAGACCTTAAGAGCAGAATAATCACACTTCTCTTTGGAAATAAAATTTAAAGAACAAAAAAAAGTTTGAAAACATAAAAAGCCTGATGTTTATGCTGATCAAATTGCAAGAAAAAAGGATGGATTCAAAAGTTGGAATTGTAAGGAAGATACAGGTTGAGAAAAACGGCTGAATACAAAGGGTGAAAAAAGTGACTGAAAGTATGCAAAGCAAGAGCTTTCTTGCCTAGAGTAGAAATGGAAGAGGAATGACTGCTTGAATTCATATCTTTTCAGATTATTCTCCATCTTTCTTTTCCAACACATTTTACCAACTCCCAGTTTCCTTTTCAGTAGCAAACATGCATGCATAGCTATCACAAAAGATTGAAGGTGAACTGATGTAACTCGGCTACTATTAACAGCTTAATATAAAGCAGAATATAAGTATTTTATACAGGACTGAGTGATATACATTAATATGGCAATAAGGAATACTTTCAAAAAAACAGTTCACTGTTCTTTTCTGGGTCAGTGCCCTGAGAGTTAAGAAAGTAGAAAACAAAACCACTGTGTGCTAAAACACGCTGCCCCTGGAACCATCTTTCAGAAACTCCCTTCTGTCCTTGGTGAATGTTCTATGACAGATACTTCATTCACAGATACAGATCAACAGTTGATATTACAGCACTCAAGTGTTTAACATGCATGTATCATCGCAATGCTGAGGTGAGACATTAGAAAACTAGCACCAAAGCAAGCAGATGATACTGAGCTAGATAGACAAAGAAACAACTTGTTATCATACTTACTGTTGTTATAATTAAAGGGAAAATAGTTTTGTGCTTTATGCAAATTGGTTCTGCTTATATGAAGGCAATCGCACTACGTACAGAAGCTGATAATATCAGAAAATACTCCTGGAATGTTTCCCCAATATATTTGGCAATAAAAAATCCCAAAAATGAACATCAGTATTTCATACAGAGGCATTCAGCTGAATGTGTGGACAGCTCAAACTTGGTAGAATATGGAAGATCCTCATGCATTCAGATGGAGATCTGAAAAGTACCTTCAAATGTTTGCCTGAATGTAAATAGCACTCCTGGTATAATGCAAGATTCTGCCTTATTTGGGTTCTGGATCACAAGCCAAAAGACGAACATCCCTCCTTTGGATCTTTAGCTGAACATGTGAAGACCAGGGAGTGTAGAGGACGAATGGCTGAACACAGCATTTGTTAAAGTACCAAGTTACAAACAGCAGAGTCACCACAGGTCATGCGTCAAGTAAAAATGTAAATGTTTCAATGCTTGAAGAATATTATATCTATCTATGATAGATTGTACCACTTCACATATTGTTTTACTCAGCAGTATATCTAGTTATCATCAGAGCCAAGCAGAAGGCGCATATGTGGGAAGGACTTGTTATTTGGCTGACCTACAAGATAATTCTCGAGCAGCATTGTCCAAGGACTATGGGAAGGGACCAGACAAAAGACCAGACAAAAGACAAATAACAGGTCCTTCCCACCCTCCTTTAGCAATGGATAACTGAGACCTCAGTTTCTCCCCAGAGAAATGGGGAGTTGGCAGCACAGAACTAGACAAATATTGTACTGAAGATTTGAGAACTCAGTGAAAATTCTGGTTCCTTAGTAAGTATTTTTGAGTTTTGTGCACACGGTTCTTCACCACACAGACATCTGCTCACACAATACACTCAGAGACACTAAGCACACAATTATTTTAAATTTTCAGAACAAAATTAAAGGATTATGAGAGGAATAAAAATTGTGGCTAAGTGCATAAGGGAAAAAAAGTGGAGAGCACAGCTCAGGAATTCAAGGGATGAAAACCATAGCGAACATCCTGACTCACAGAGAAACTGCCTCATTCATTCCTGTTGTTTAGGATTTCAGCCATTGTCTAATAAAAGCAGAGTCATGAGTACAGTCCAAAGAACCAAAGGTAAATATGAGTCCAATTAAACCAGTCTTTGCACCTATTTCCAAAGAAAATTTTGCAAACTACAGGCATACTATGGAAATCCTAATTATTGCTATTTTATAAAAAATTCAGTAAGGACTCCAGTTTGGTACAAAGTCATGTGTGCATGAGAAAGGTGATATTCTAAGCCAGCCTTATTTTATCAAATACATATTGTCCCAATGGCTAACAGCAGCTTTAACTGCAATTAGAAAATCCACATATTGGCTTGAATGCCAATATAAACCGAACATTTCTTGTAGAATAAAATTCATTAGGAGTTCCAGTCACATTTTATTTATTTATTTAGATTTAGGCACTGCCTGCCTCCAAGAGGATTCACATGTAGAATTAGATTCTTATTAAGCTTCCCTCCCTCCCACACTGAATGCTTGGGTTTACTCAGTTCTTGCTGTATAGTAGTTTACCACTAGAATGGAAATTAATGGCATAATTTACAGCACGTTTTAGTTGTAAAGATACTCTCAAATTCTGTAGTACGCAAAAATTATTCTGCATAGCTTACAGAGCCATGTGTGTACTGATTGCACATGGCATATGGGGCACATACCATGCCCTACTCAATATTATATAGAAAAAATGAGGAAATAAATAAATAGCAGATGTGCTTTACGTATGTGAAATAAATGCGCACATGATCTGTTTGCTCATTAAATTTTTGTTTTCTTGCCATTTTAGGCAGAGAGAGAGCATTAACACACTCAGAGAACTGCTAAAAGAAAAGGGTTCAAGCTATTCAATGCACAGTTGATTGTATATATCACAGGATACAAAAACTTTGGTCTAGTGGCTCACTTTACTTGTCTCAGAGCACTGCTGTTCTCAAGAGCTTATAACCATGTTCTTTCTACTTCAAGTTTTATTACTTCCTCTGTATTATTTAATATACCTAAAGATGCTTCCAAAAGAAATGTTTCCATTTGGGGGGGGGGATTAATGGTTTGGAATTCATTAAGGCACATTAATGTTCTCCCTCACTCTTTGTGTACAATAATTTTATTTATTTGTCCAAGATGATACAATATGTGGCAAGTGAAGGAACTAGATAGATCATCTTAAAGGTATAAATATATCAGTTAAATTAATATATTTACTGATCTGAAAAGGCAAATCAGGAAACAAAATGTAAAAATCTTAAAATCTACAAAGGCAAATGAAATTGCACAGCTTGAAAATGTAGGAAAAAAACAGCTGTAGTGGCTTGCAATTACTATTCCAGCATTGCACATATAATAAATATTGAACGTACTACTGTATGAAAGAGAAAAGAAATAATAAAGAAAATTGGAGTACATTTTAAATACAAAATCATTATCACTAACTATGGACATAATGGCATAAAAATAATTCTACAACAAACTTACAACTATGTCTACTTAGATGTCATAGCACTAATTAATATATAAATTACCAGGAAATCAATACCCCCAAGGTATGTGTTTTGCTATTTACTAAACAAGATATTGCTACATTTGACACTGTTGATTAAGGCAAGACATTTCTTAGGCTTAATACACATTCCTGAAATCCACGATACATCAATTTTTAATAATACCACTCTCTGAGCTGCATTAAAAAGATGGTAGGGAAAGATTTTAGAGTAATTAATGACATAGTTAGCTCCTAAATATTAATAGGAATCGTAGTCTTGCATAAAATTTAACATATAAACCTCACCAGTACTGACGCACCAGTAATTAAAGTTGAATATGTAATTACACTGATTTATAAGACAGGTAAAAAAGTTACACTTTACTAGTTTCTATGTAAACTCAGGGTAACGGTTGAACTTTCCATTGTACTTTTTTTTTTTTTTTTTTTAAATGGGTAGTATTTCTGTGACAGTTCATACATGTATTACAGACCTGGAAATACAAAAGTATTTCTGATTGGATTGCTTTTGCCAAGTAATTTACTGACCTAACTTGGGAAAAGGAGCCGTGTTTGACAAAATGATGCTGTATCAACATGCAAAGAAAAAGAAGCTTTTGCCCTAGGCCAGTTTCTGAATATTCTTACCTGTTCTGGACAGATTCTTAAGCAAGGCAGGACTTTTTGATAAATTATTTTCCATTTTGGAAGAGGCTAACAGTACTTACATGTGAGGCTGAGGAGAGCAGCCTGGACTGCTATTTCCATTGCTGTCAATGTGCTCCAAGGAACCATTGAGATCTTCATGGACTGCCTGTAGTAAGCCACTGGATGCGTTGTTTATCAATCCGGGGTTACCAAGCAAAGGTAAACTACTTTCTGCCAGCGCAGCCTAGCAGTGTGGAGATGATACAGCATTCTTAGGGTGCTTAATACATATCGATGTAAATACAAGTCAACAAATGTCTAGAGAAATCTCTATTTGTTATTTTTCCCATATCTGAGAATATATATACCCACCACATATTCTTACGACTGCTGGATGGAATGATTAAATATGCTCTGATACTGACATGCACCATGTCTTCTGCCTTCAAACTCTTTCTGACTCTAAAGTGCACCAATCCTAAACCTTGTGTCCTAACACGTAGCCTGCATTTTGTTTCTGTTGCCAGCCTGAGTTGGAAAATAAAAAATGACCAGAACTTAACTCAAAATGAAGGAGTCTTGACATTTGCCTTTTCTGCATGAAAATTATATCTTATAATTAAACTTTAAAGTTTTTCCCATGAGCACAATGTTCTCTAACACTATGATATGAAATCATTCATGACAGCTTGGATAAATATTAATGCATATTCACATGCATTTGCAAAAGCTTCTATCAATCTAGTATTTGCAGTA